GATTTTTTCTAGATGGACGATAAATTGGTATTGATAGTAGTCTAGAACCCTTACATTGTGCGTGTGTCAGTTGTCGTGCGAGTCATGCCATCTGATTACATCCTTTTCTACCAGTCCATGACTTTGCCTTTTCAACTCTTACATATCGATGACGTGCATGGCAGTGTGCTAGTCTGCATCGAGTATTCGTGCTCTGATCAGTAAACGAGTTGTTGCGGTTCTGATGTGTTACCTATTTATATTTTTGATTCCACCTGGCTTTTAATTCTATCCTGTTACTGGTCCAGTTCCTATGGTAAGTTATACATTTCGCTATTGGAATGAGCTCTCTTTGACTACTTTTAATTAGGCAGTGTATGTCACCTATGGTACTTATTATATACGCTATTAGTGGCTACCAGAAGCAGAGAACATTTGTATTGTTTAGATCACCCGTCAGGGTGATTCTCGCACAAAATGGCCTTTGAAAGTAAGTAAATCTCAAGATCCATCGCAAAGAACAACGAGCTCGGCACCTCAGGTGAATATGCATGGCATTCTCTCTGCTTGTAACACATGCACATCTGCTGACTCACCTAACTGATGACGAGCATCTTCCTGTCGAGATCATGGAAAGAGTGTATTGTCCATAGACAGAGAGAATTGTATGGGTCTCGCTACTCGGTACCAAGCATACACGAGAGCACAGGTCTATCACTCATGAATAATATTGACTACACCCTGTGAATCCTCAACAGATCTTGCGATAAGAGCTTAAGGCTCTATCAGCAACTTGACGTGTTTTTCAGTATGGGAGGATATTACAAGCTTGCCTAATTACAACTAACTTTTCCGTCCTTACAGCGATCGAAGCTAATCTTGTAAAATATCATATATAAGCTTTAATTTCTTCACAATGTACATCATTCTTCACTACTACCTGAGTAGAATAAATTGAGTGCTTCCCCCTACAGTGGCTGTTATATGCTTCTCATGTCAGGCTCTCTTGGATATGAACAGTAAGAAATGACTCCAGAGCTATATGCAAACGTTATATAAAACTGAAACAACACCACTGAGACTCGACGTGCAATTCCCAATTAATGTAGCTTATTGTCTAGATAAAGCACAATATAGTATAGGAAAGTTGTATCAAGTCAAAGACAACATGTCCTCCTGCGTATGATGTGTGATATCAAGTTTGCTAATACAACTCAAATTAGCCGACAGCAGCTCTAAACCAGTGTAGACTAACTACCTTCTATTTGCTCAAATTTATCGCATAAAAATTTTGTTCGACTCTTAAACATTAATTTGATTCATACAAAGAACATAACCAGTGTTGCTTACATGGAAGAGACTGCAGAGTCTGTTTCAGTCGCACACTGGCCTGTTTACATACTACTAGGCCCTATTCTACCAGGTGTTTGTGCGTAAGTGATTTTCAAAAATACAACAGATTTAGTTTTTTCCTTCAGGTCTTTATATGAACACTCGACCATCTAAGTCCATCGAGCTCAGTAGAGCTGGTACCTTTCATAATCAAGAGATTTTTGTAACTCACTTATTGTGTTCCACTCAACAGATCATTCATTACATAGGGTAGGAATGCTAAGCAAAGGGAGTGACTTTGTTCCGGCGAGTGAAGGAATGGGCCAAGCTCCGACACAACATACATCCACAGATTGGCTCCACCACCTCTCGTTCCACACTCCACCCCCGAGCCTTCTGTGTAAGATACACGGATTGTTTACATATATTATACTGTCTTTAAAATATGAAATACTGGTATCATATTTAATATTCCTTTTCTTCAGTGAGATGTCCTAAATAAACAGCAATACTGATGCATGTGGAGTGCCTGCAGTAATTACCGGTAGTTGACTATAAAAAGTTGTTTCAAGAACACCTGTGCAACACCTTGCTGTCACATCGATATATAAGGAGTTTAGCCCACTACTCTACTCCAGCCCAATAGTCCAGGCCCTTTTGCGTGAGAAACTTGTTATTCCCCAGAGTTGGGACGACCTGCCAAAGCTGACGAAAGGTATTAGAACTGTGTATCTATTGAAGTTATCCTCATATTTATATGAGTAAATTCTTCTGGTTGGCCCCTCGTTTCAATCCGACACATTAAATCGATTGATACGCAGATGTTTTTTTCTGTCAGGTTTACATAAACCTTTATTCGTTCATTGTCTCCGACCTGATTAATATATAGCAAATCTCTCGAATAAAAAAAGACGACCTACGTTAGTGGTCAGAGCTTGTCCCTAAATACTGCGCCTCTCATGGGCTATTATTTAAACCGGTAGGGACATTCCCATAATAATTAGTCATAAGGGATAATGCCCATTAGAACCCTAACTGGTTGTCCGGTAGATAATCTACGCCAGGACACCTGCTCCCTGAGAGGTGAATACCCAACACACTATGGTGGCGGGTTGGTGGGTCGATGCTGACTCCGTCCATAAGCTTTATTGATGCGCAGCGATGACAGATGGATGTATTTTCACGCTTGGCTCCGGTGTTTTTTAGCCAGCCTCAGCTTATCTGTCTTCAGCAAGCAACCTATCATACAATTCGATATCCACCTCTTTCAGACTCGAACAGTGCGAGTGGAACAGTCGAAAATTACCTGCGTGCTAGAGAGCGTTCAGACTGTATTAGAGATAAATTGAATACATAAGCGACTAATCATTTGGTTTTAATTCAATATACGGAGATAAATAGTACTTTAATATTCTATACAAGTTTAAATAGTTATAAACTCTGCTTGCTATCCTAAATGTATTCTCACTCATAACCAGCTATTCTCGCTCGTGCTTTATGTTAGTTTCTCAAACTCGCACCTTTCTTCTCGAAAATCTCGCGTCTTTTCTCTAAATATACCTTCTTCTTTGTCAGTTAGCTGGCTCGTTAACTCATACTTCCAACAGCACAAATCAAAAGCATTCCTTATGCTGCTGTTTCAGCTTCTGCATCACCCTGCTTGGCTCCAAGGGGTCTGACCCTTAGTCGAGATGCCCTCACTCGCCATGGAGATTAAGCGAACGGACATCTCGAGACGCGAGCAGGCTGCCTCTAGGTGTGACGGTCCTCCTTTACAGAAGTGCCAAGGAAGCGACCACCCAAAAGCTATACCATAAGCACCAACTCCTATTCCCTCCCCCCTGTTCTTGGCCAACATACCTCTGGCAGCGTTAGAAATTGATGATTGCAACGAGCTCCCGCGAGTAAGCCTCATAGTATAACAAGTATAGGATAACCCTCATGATTTAAGAGTCCCTGATATTCCAAAAAAAGAAATAGGAATGAAAACAGAGAATCCAGTTGAAGAGTCTGACCAAGAAAAGAAAGACTACTGGAACCTCCACTGTGCCTGCAACTAGAGAAGACAAAACTCAAAAGTCTCCAAAGCCAAAATGAATGTTTTCTTTCTCGCTATTTTTAATTTATGTCTTTTTTGCTGGCAGGGTTGGACTGTTATCAAATGGAACTTGTGTCAATGCATAAGGCTAACATTGGACTGTACAACAAAAAACGACTGCAGAAGAAATGCAGGCTTCCGTCAACCTGCAGATGCAGGAAGATGGGTTTAATTTTATGGATTCTTGGTATGGATCACTTTGTTATTTCCCTGTAACTGCCTTATATTGGTGCTAATGATCTGATATGATTGCTGCCTCTGACAGGATATGGCCACATGTTGCTTGTGGCATCTAGGAGCTGTGAATTATGCTGCCTGCTGAGGCCTGAAAGTATTCTGATATCTCCTAAACACATTTAATTGACAAAAAATAAGAAAACTATTTATCTGCCTTTAGTAAAGGCAACATTACATCGACAAATATTTAACAACAAAACCTGTTTTAAAGCTCAGATTTCATAGCTAATTGTAATTCAATTCCTTTGCTAAAATTTAAGTAATTTTAAATCCCAACTATTCAGAGGTGCTGATTCTTGCCCAGTGCATGCTGGGATATGCTCCACCACTCCACCACTCCGGAAATTTAAAAAAATGCATAGATGGACATTTCTCACCCGACCATGGAACTGATCTCTCTCTGCCTCAGGTTGGTGGACAGTGCCGGGTTAAGTTGTTTTTGCACTCAAAGGAAATCTACTGATATTATTCCAAAGACACCAAAGACTGACTGACCTTCCTTTGAGTTCTGAATTTGACTCCTACTGATCACTTTGTTTAAATCCTGTATGTTTGAGTCGAGAGTTACCAGTGCTGGCAATGTCATTGTTGTGTAGTCGACTGGGATGGGACTGGAACCACCACAGACCTGTGAAACCTCATGTAAGGCCTGAAGCAGTGTGGTGCTTCTGTCAAAACGCAGTGTTCTCAAGATTTAGTTTTAATGTCATACCCACCACCTC